TTATTCGAAATAAATTTGAGAACAAATAAACTTTTAAGTTTCTTTAAAATTTTTCATCCCCCCGAATTTAATTTTTTAATAGAAATAAAAATTTTTAGAATCATATATAAATAATCAGGAATGAAAACTAACTATAACATGCTTGTAGAAATTTTTATATCCTAAATATGTCAGTACAAAAATTAAAAATAGGAGTAAAAATTTAATTGATCAAATTTTAAATTACTTAAAATACAGAGATTCATCAGACTTCTATGCAGTGGAGTATAACATAAAAACAAATAAACACACTAACAAACGTACATGACTGCAACATAAAGAAAAATAACTGGTAGTAAATTGAAAATTTTAAACTTTCAGATTTAATAGCAAGTTAGCTAAATTTTAAACCCACCTAAGGTTCCAGAATTAAATTTAACAAACACTAAGTACAACAACATAAATACAATTAAAACAATTACTACCATTAAAACATACTAACTTAACACAAATACATCGCAGTAGGTGTACGAAATAAAACACAACATAACAAAAACTAGCAGTCTTTACAATCACACTTAAAAACATAACAAAAAGTATAGATTACTAGTACCAACAACAATTCATAACAATATAAAATCTAAAAACATTAAATAGAACTAAGGATCCAAACTAATCATCACTCTCTTCTTCATCATTATCGTCACTACGCCAAAAAACTGTAGGCTCATATGGTGGATATCTGGGATATTGAGGAAATACTACATCCCGATTACCTCTATTAAGATGTTCCATAGCTATGATGTATTCCTCCTCATAATCACTTCGTCTCTTCATATACCCATCCATATGCTGTACAAAATGCGCTAAATTTAATACCTTATCCACAATGTAATTAACATTGTCCAAAATCCTCTATAATATCTCTGACTGAGAATCAGATCCAGAAGTCTGACCCCATGATGTAAAAGCATGTGAAGTAGAAGCTAGTGAAGTAGAGGCAGCAGAACTATACTGGAGAATACACCCTTCCAACCAAAAATAGAATGATGTGAATAAGTCTTCACATTCACACTGGTAATGGGCTTCAATGGTTGTAAGATCTTCTCCCAGCTATCATATCTAACACCAACCTGCTTTGAACTACTGAATACAGTAGTTCAAAGATTCAAAAGATTAAGGATGTGAATCCCAAACCTACAGTAGTACCATCGATAGTAGAACTGGTTATAACTCCATAAATCAATCCTCTAATATCAATAGGCTTGGACTGTTGAATACAGTAGTTCAAGGTTGCTCTATCTCAAGTCACTTCACTTAAATGATTTGTAGGTAGCAGACAAGCATAAATAAAATAATGCCATGCCTTTGCAGTGGCATCCAACTTTGGAGTAGAAAATTTTACTCTTCTTTCATTTGTAATCTTCCATAACCCTCTCCCAGCAGTCAAAGATGAAATAATCTCGTCTAGCTCCTCCTCAGTATGACTATAGTTTGAATAAAAACACAAAGTACTCGGGGGCAAATGATAAAACTCATTAATTACCTCAGGAGAAAATAGTACTGTCATCCCACTCTCTACGACTCCTTCCTCATCAGCTTCAGACATATTAGCACAAAACTCTCGTACCACAAAAATCACAGCGACAACAGAAAAATAACAGAACAGAAAAATAACAGAACAACAACAGAAAAATAACAGAACAGCTCCCACTGGCGGCTAACAATCAACTCTTCTACAACTCCTCTCGAACTTTTAAAACAACGCTCAGGAATTAATTTCCTCGAATGTAGAGCATCACTATATTGATCCTGAGCTTTTGAACTAACAAATTTAATTGAATCAAATGGAGCTTTTCCCTTGCTTCTCTTCATTTTTGGTGCCATTTTCTAAAAAATGTATAAAATTCAAAATAAATTTCACAATCAACTCCAAATTACTAAACTCAACTCCTAAAAGCTTAAACTAACAAATCCATGCATTTTCCATCAAATTTTCTCAAATTTTCACCATGAATAGTGATTTTTGGATAGCTCATGAATGTGCTCAAAATATGAATGTGCTCAAAATACATGGTATGTGCTCAAAATACATGGTGGAAATAAAAAATTTTGCATAGAAGTGAAGCTCTTACCTCAAGAAGATTAAATCTAACAAATTTGGCTTGAAACCACCAATAAATCTTCACTTAAAATGATGCTCTAGCTCTCCAAATCGTGAATTCCAAAGGTAGGAGATGAAGTTTTGGCTCGGTAACGGTGTTTTCAGTCCAATATGTCACTTAAAATCGTTCGCAAATCGGTTTTCGTGAATCGGTTTTCGTGAGTCGGCGCTGAAGCGCGAATGGTTCAGCGCTTAGGCACCTATCTCTCTGTTTAGGTAGCACATAAGCACGGGTTTTGGCGCTTAGGTGCCAGTGCACAAATTTTGATTTTTTTTATTTAAGTGAAATGCACGTCTAGCCTAAGTCAACCAACCCTATGTGGTCTCAAAACACTGTAATAACTATTTCCTCCCCTCTTATCTCTTCTCTTACTCAAGATTTACCAATCTTAACACCTCTTATCTCTTCTCTTACTCAAGATTTACCAATCATAACAAATTCGATTCAACACTAAATAAAACAAAATTTCACACAAACAAAATACTTATATTAATTCACGAACGATTACAAAACTTTCAAATACATAAATTCTCAGTCCAAATAGTCTCGGATGAGAAAATTCCTAAACATAATACTAGATCTTAATAACATAAAACACATATTAAAACACTTAACATAAACAAACACTAAGCACATAAACACTGAATCACGAACTTAATTCCACTCTCTAGTTGATGGAACAAATTCTGGCCTATCGTTAGTCTCTCTTTCAACATTTGGAATGTATATCTGAAAGAACGGACGATGATTAATAATTCTGGTTGAATCTTCTTCAATCCACTTGTTCTTTAAATACATTGCCTTGTCTGCTTATTCTATAAAACTGGTATGGCTAAACTGCATCTTAAGTTGCCATCCCATATGATCCAGAGGTGTGTTAACTTCCATCACTTTCGCTTCAATTAAAGCCATGTTAGCCTCAATTTTAGTGATTTTCTCCGCTATTCCTTCGATACTAATGGCTAGGAAACCGTTATACATCTCTTGCGCACTTTAACTAATAAACTTATTTCTCATTACTTCCTCCTTCTTCTTCAAATCACTCTCCCAAGAAGACATTTTTCAAAAATTCTCTCTTTTTACTTAAAATTCAGGGTTAAAAGGAGGTGTGGTGAAAATCTTTTCAATAGCATAGAATGTGGTCAAAAGGGCTTTATTAATAAAAGGTGAGGAAATCCTAAGCTAGTAGAGATAGATAGGTCGGGACAACATAGATTCTTCATCCCAAGCTATTCAAAGTCTAAGTTTACCTGGTCATGAAGATGGTCGACCCAACCGACTAGAGAACCCTTGTCAGCAACCTATTTATTATATGATCTAAGGAATCCTGACAGTTCTAAAGTCAACATAAATAAACTTATAATTTCTTATGACTCTATGCGGGTGGAATTCATAGAAAAAGGAGTTATACCTGGTAAGAAAGTGGCCACAAAGCCTTTAGAGTGGAGGCGATAAGAAAGGTTCAGCTATGAAGCCAAACAATTTCACATAGGACTTGCACCCTGTCTGGGTTGGTAAACTTCTAACATCTTAATCATTCTATACAACGTCTTAAGTAGAAATTTATGTTTGGTCAGTCAGGTTAGAGAAGCACTAGCACATCTTCTCGCGATTTGTGAAAATGATGCAGTTGTCTAAAATAGTCCTTAATATAGAGGCCTTATTAATTGTGACTTGGGAGTAACAATGCGTTTTGAACCGTTTTAAATCCGCCCCAAAGGAAATGTAAGAAAATAAATGCTGATTTTAAAGTGCTGATATTTTAATCATAAATTTTGATTCACACTAATTTTTTATTATTTGAATTTTGTAAAGAGATATTTTTTTTTCTTTTAGAGTCTTTGTTTTATTTTTTAATTCCCTGGGACAAGAGGTTGTAATGTAATAACCAACTTATACTGGAACATTTCAACTGGCTAAACATCATGGTTTCTTCCATTTCTGGGTTTTTAGTGTTAATATTTCTGGGGTCTCTACTTGTTGTTTTCATTTATTTGAATGTGTGTCACATTCTCTTATATAACTAAGATGATAATTATTATGTCGTGAATCTCTAGCACGCATCGGAATATATGTTAATCAAATTATTATCATTATGTCATTTTTATTATATGGTATAGTTATATTAATACATCTTACTAATCCTATTATCCTATTATCATATTTGTGGCTTCTAAAAGAAATAAAAAATTTAGACGATTGTCACACAACTGTAGACATAGCCCTGATTTACTATAACAATAGTAGGCCGCCACAAAAAATACCACCGACAATGGTTTCCTGCCTGATTGAACAAATGTGACCCCCCAGCTTCCAATCACACCAACCCACCAAGCTTGCCACGTGTACTTGTCCCCAACACAATATGAACATGATTTTCTCACTCGAGGTACCAATTCGGTCCACATTCAGAGCCAATCAACATAGCCCAATGAACCTTCCAAAAAAATACTTTCATTTACTTTAAATATCATAAATATAGTTATAAGTTTTGTTGCTTATATTAATTAATAAAAATAATAATAATTTAGTCACCTATACTTTGCTTTTAGATGACGATCCACTGTCACTAAATATAATTGAGATATAATATTATATAAACAAATATCACATTAAAAAAATAAATATTATTAATTTTAGGAAATATACTTTGCATGTAGGGATCACATGCACGTTAAATTCATTTCTCTTAAATATGTAAATACATATAAGTTCAGTGGTATTTATGTAAACCTTCCGTGAGCATGTACGACATTTCACTTTTCTTTTTCCCAATTATTTTTACGTCAGAAAAAAGTAGAAAGCTTCAAATCGAGTTCATGTAAAAATTCTCTGCTTTGAGCTTACGTTCCTCCCATTTGCGGTATTAGGTAATAACTTAGCTGCATAAATTATAGAAAAGTCAAGAAAATTTGCGGTTGAAGGAAGAGGAGATAAATCTCGAAGTAGAACGAGAGTAAGGGAGGGAGGGAAGAGGAAATGCTTCAGACTTTGGTGCTTTTAGCATGCATTTGGGTTTGGCACCCGAGCTCCATCAATGGCGCCACCGACTCTGATGACAGTAAGCATTATGTTCTCGGCGGCTTTCTGTCACCCTTTTGGATTAGATCTCTATTTTTTTCCTTTTATGAATTTCGTTCCTACGATGCATACTTTTGCTCTTTATGCATTTTAGATTTTTACCAATTAGTGAATGAGTGTTCTTCGATTGGTTTGGAGATGAGGTTCTGTTGTTTAGCCATAGACTGAAAAAACAATTGTGTAGTAATCTGAGTTGGAAAATCCTATTCTGTTTGCAGTTTCTGCTCTCAATGTGTTCTATGCTAGTATGAACTCACCGGCTCAGTTAACAAATTGGAATTCGAGCGGAGGTGACCCTTGCGGGGAATCATGGAAAGGGATCATCTGCTCCGGCTCATCAGTTACAGAAATGTTTGTTTGATGATTGAGAAATCTGATTAAGTAATGGTTATATTGATTCTTCATTGCTTAATCTCGTCTATGATTTTTTTTTTTCATTATACAAGCAAGCTGCCTGGATTGGGTCTTAATGGAACTTTTGGCTACCAGATGGATAAGTTGAAATCCCTTGTTGAGCTGTTAGTCCCTTTAAATTTTTCTTTTCCCCAAGCCTACTTTAGCTCCAGATTTTGATGTTGAATTTTTTGTGAGATTTAGGGATTTGAGCAACAATAATTTGGGAGGTGGAAACACACTTCCTTACAACCTACCCCCAAATCTTCAGCGCCTGTAAGTGATGGAGTTCTTGGTTTTTTTTTTTTTAATTTTTTATTTGTAGCATTTGTTGCTCATCCCAAATTCTCTGCAGAAATGTTGCTCAGAACCAATTTAATGGAGGAATGCCCTATTCGATATCGCTGATGGCTGCTCTTCAATACCTGTGAGTCTTCGTCTGGCTTTTATTGTGCTGTTTGTTACCATTTTTTAAGTGCTGAAGTGGTTAAAATTGATCCGGTTGATTTAGAAATCTTGCTCAAAATCAGTTTCAAGGCAATTTGTCCGATTGGTTCAGGCCCATGGTTAGCCTTGATACAATGTGAGTAATTCTATGGTCTCCTCAATGAATTTTGATATATTGCTTCTAAACTGAGTAAAGTGTGAAAATTAGCCCCCCGCTTTTAACATGGGGTCATTGTAATTCAAGTATCTATAAAAGTTTCAAATTAGTCCTTAGACTCCTTTAAAATTGGCTGAAATAGTCCCTAGCGGTGATCATTTTAGCTCTTATTAAAAGATTATGGGATTAAATTACTTTTTTATAGACTATGGGACCCCGACAATGTGTCAGGAAACCATTTTGACACTTTTTTCCTTCTAAATTTATGCCACCTAAATTTAGAGAGAGTTAGTGAGTGTGAGGGGTCACTTGTATGGGGATGCTTTGTTTTTTGGAGTTTTTTTAGAGAGAGGAACACCTCTCCTAGGTTTGGATCTTTCTTGAGAATGTTTACATCATATTTATTGAGATTTTCTAATGTCTACTTCTTCGATTTTTAAGGAGAATTTGGTGCACATTTGTTAGTCCTCTCCAATTTCTCTTTTCCATATCTTCGATAATAAATTTATTTGTCTTGTTGCCATTTAGATGTATGCCTTTGTTAATTGAACAACATAAATTTTGGTATTTTTATCTTTGTGATTATTCTATTTTTTATTTATTATTGATCTATCATCAAGAATTTTTTATTATCTAGCATAAATCTCGAGGAACTATTGTGTAAGAAACTTTCCGAATTCAAATCAAGATCATGCAGGGGCCAGGGCCCTGATTTCAGCAAGGTTATAATCAAATTTACCGTCTCGACAAGACAGACCCAATGATATCAAAATTGGATCAATTCGAGCCCAATCAAACCTAGATCAAACCATTAAAGCACATTTGAAAGTTTTGGATAATAATTTGAACGATCAAATAACTCCAAATTTGACATATTTATAGTCAAATCGAGCGTATTGACGAGAGAATCTAACGAGCCCAAGATCACTCAATTCTAAGTCAACTAAGAAACTCAAATCATAAAAATACACATATGATTAAGGGGATGAATACAGGCCGTCCGACCAGGTGTTTGGGAAAGTTATTCGCCAAAAAAAACTAAAATGTCTCTATTCCATAAGTTATAAATAAACTCCATATCTTCACTTAAGGAAGGAGAGAAGTGAAATTCAAAAGCTGGTTTTATACTAAAGACCCAGTGATAACTTCTAACCTTAGTAGCTGCCGATCATTATAGACCAGCATTAACCACTGCCAGTTGGCCGCTGTCAACCATAGCTGCGGTCTCTGCTTTCCTCTACCAAGCACATGCTGCTAGCGACCCCTGTTTGCAAACATCGTATCCCAAATACGACTGTAATGTGTAATGTATATACTGAAGACCCAACGATAACTTTTGGTCTACCATCGATCACCGCCCATCGGTGACCATCAAGCACCGCCGGTTGTCCCTACTTGTAGACCATTGGTCGTTGGTGACCCTTACTTTCGAACGTCGTATTCAAAGTATGGCCATAACATGCAACGTTTATACTGAAGCTAAAAACCTAGTGATAACCTTCGATCTCTGTAGTCACCAACCATCGTCATTTTCTTTATTACCAACAACTAGAAAACAAAGATCATTGCTTACGATTATTGTAGTTTGAATACGATTTGCATTGTCTTGTATGTTGTATACCGACAAATATTATATTTGATGTAAAATAGTAACACCATTTTCCTAGTTGTGAGGAACGTGTGTACTTTTGCACCTATATATTTATAGTGGATTACTTTGACTAGGTTAAACCCTGTGATCTTTTCTCTTTCTAAGTTTTTCCACGTAAAAAATCTTGATGTTTTCTTTTGTTACTTTTCAATTATCTATATGTGCTTTGAATCTTCATACAAAGTTAAGACATTAAATTATCACTGCATCATCGTGAATTTTCCCAGCACACAACAATTATGTTTATTTATGTGATGCTAGTTTTGTTTCTCTTATAATCTATTTGATTTCTTTGCCGCTTGCAATGAGATGTTTTGGGCGCTTAAGTTATAAGAATATTTAATATCTGAAGGTTGAGCATTCAAGAGATGCTAAAGGTATTTTTAGGGGCTGTTTGGTAGCATGATTTATGTTGGATTTAGCATAAATATCACGAAAATGTCCAAATAAACAATTCAAAATCCTAAGGAAACTTACATCTTGATTTTCCTTTGTTTTTGTGTAAATCCTATATTTACTAAATTTGGGAGTTTAATAGATTTTGCTAATAGAAACACGTGAAGAAGGTGAAAGCGAGATATTTCTGTTGCATCTCCTTTTGTCGATACTTGCTTTTGAGTTGCCTGCCTATTGTGGAATTGGAATCGGTTTTGGGATGCTATTGGATTTCAAATTTTACCGGACCATTTTCTTTCTAGATGGAATTTTGGATTATCGCATTTTGGAGAGCAATGATGGAGATTGCAGCATCATCTATGTGCTTATTTGGCTTGCCTAGTTGGCCGTTGAATGGTTATCTCTGATTGGTTTACTTCCCAATCATGGTTGCACTCTCTACGGAACAAATTCTTATTTGTCCTTGACTTTGGCACACTGGTTTGACCTCTATATTGGATTTCTTGGTTTGCTTGGATAAATCTTATAATAGACAATGATGTATGAATTGATCTCTCTTTTCACCTTGATAGTTTTTCCTCTCTACCTTCTGTTTTAACTTTCTTTTTACACAAGCTCATTCTTCTTTTACTCTTATATTTGAGTCTTTTGTATTCATTTCTTGTAACCTTTTAGTTCATAATTGAGTATGTTGGGCATGTTCGTCAAACGCTACCCCCTCCCTCCTCTTCTCAAAAAAAAAAATAAATAAATAAAAAAATAATAAAAAAGACAAATTTGTTTGATGCTTTTGCTTGTAAATGCCTATCACAACATCCTTGTTTCTTTTTCCTCGATATTACCTCGTTGGAAATGAGAGAAAGAAGAGGGTTGACAGCAGCTTGTCGCTCAAGATAGCTCTTTTCCTTCATATACGATGGTGCTGGCGAGGTAGGAGAGGCAGGTCGACCGACCCTTACCCTCTCGGATAAGGCAATGGATGAGGAACCGCCAGCCTTGAAATCTGACGAAACGTCAGTACTCAGTCTCATGACGGCCGACGCATCGGACATCGAAGAAGAAGCTGCGGCCTCGAAGTCTTCCCAAGTCTCTTGCAGCAGACTTTCTCTCGTCACCTTTCCCTGTATCAACAAAATGAGAATCAAATTTTTGAGCAATCATAGTAACCTCGTCGGTCACCATATTCTGGATAACAATTGTGGTTTCAACACAAGAAATATATTTTGAGGCCACACTACTAAGGAGCGGGTCCTCATCTTTTACGAAGATACCTGCTGCCGGGGGATGCTTCTATTTTTGTTGCTTGGCAGCTAACTTCTCCCTCGACACCTTGTCTTGCATCGCCTTATCACAATTCGAGAGGCGCCACCTTTTCTGAGTTATTTTGCTCCTCATCGCTTTGGTGACTATTATCTCGACAGTATACTACGGAACCGAGGTGGTGACTGGTCAACATTGCCTCGGCGGTATGGAAATCCTCCGAGAGGGACTTTAGCCCGTCCCTCGCTGGCCCGTCAACCTAGCCGCATCCCCCAGTTGTAAGAATAGGACCCATTCACAAACTACTTTTGCCAAGCCTTTATCTTGTGCTTCACCCCAAGTGGGTGGAGCTTCATGTCGATAGAGAACATGGCGAACCTTTCCTTATCGATCTTAAATGAATAATAATAACTAAACAGGTTGATCGACCATGGGATGCTCTCGCGATGACAGAAAAGAATGAAGGTCATCATTTTGATTATGGAGTTCGATAGCACTTGGGCCTAAATGACCCCATACTTATTGAAAATGCTCTGGAGCTCGGTACACAGAGGCAACCGGAGACTATACTTTAACTTGTCTCGATAAAAGACTAGATCTTTGCCCATGTCGTACGTGGCGCGTGACGAACCGACACTCATTGAAGGACAATGTCGTTACTGAAAACATATTTCTTCTAATACCCCGACACTTCCAGTCAAGAACGACAGGTCAACACCCTTCTCAAAGCCAAAGAGAGTAGGGTAATATTTGGAAGCCATTGCGAGAAGACAACCGAGTGACGAAAGAAGAGGAGGGTTTGAAGGCACAAAGAAAGCGATCTTAATGTGTAAAGGATAAAAAGTGCTCTCATCCTATTTATTGGTTGAGCATATGAAACGAGACGTTGCATAATGATAAGTGCCACACCAAACATCCTTTCATATTTAATTAATTACTTTTTTATTACAAATGACATTTTATAGATATCAAACGAAGTGTTTTACAAACGGGTCTTCTAAAGCCTTGGTCGGGAAATACCCCTTCCAAGTCAACCTTCGGAGTACCAACACTCTGCCTAACCTAAGTTGATCTACTCAGTCGACATCGTGTTGTAACTTACTCAGGACAGTCAACTCACGGAGTGCTTCCAGCTCTCACAACACCTTCTCCAGTTCATTTCTCAAAATGGCGACTTCCGTTCGCAAGCTCTCCGCCTCTAAATTTGTGGTCGTCTGGCGGGCCGACAATTCCAGAATCAGATCTTCAACAAAACCTCCAACCGCTGCCAGTAAAGGCTCACCTCCGCTCGTTTGTCGCTCTGCAAATTTGTGCGGAAGCTCCGACCAGTCATATTACTCCTGCTAGGGGCCACCAAAGTGGTTAAGTGAGGTCAACATAGTGGGACCAGCTACAGGCAAAAAATCGAGCGGGTGATGCCCTCTGGCATCAACTGATGAGGGGAGAGCGGCGATCATGTTTCATAGCCTCGTCGCTATAGCAAGAGCAGATTTGACAGCGTCTTTTTGTGGTCCGTCGTCCTCACGACCTTCTGCCCCAACTGATTCATCTGCATTGAGATAATGTCCAACAATCACTAAAAACCGTTAATAACCAGAAAAATTCTTACATACTTACAAATCAGTCCATTCAAGAAAGGGTCTTCGCAAATGTGTCTTCCCCTCGCGACGGA